AAAGTACACAGAGCCGTATCTTAAGCATTCGTTCTCCTGTTGCGGAGACGGTTTACTCATGCATATGGGATCGATTTCTCGTAAGCTGAAACAAGCGTGCAGAGAAGACTTTCAACAAGTCGCCAGCAGGCTGAATCACTACACCAGTCGGAATGATTTAGCAGCCCTCTTCCTCCAGAGGATATGTCTCCCCCACCCACTCACACTGTTTAACTGCCGCAAGAAGCAGGAGATCGTAAATTAAGCACACTGCACATTGCAACATACACATTCTGTTGCCTTTCAAAAGGGCCCGTCTAATATCTTCTTTAAAAAAGGAAAGGGAAGAGAACAAGAAGCTTTCGTCTCCCGTCGGAAAGATGTTCAGAAGCAGCGGAGCAATAAATCACTTTAGTATTAAGCCAGAGGTGTCATCTTAATGGCAAGCGAAAGGTTCTTCACAGCAAGTGAACCATATTGTGGCTTTGGGGTTTCTGTTTTTGTGGCTTTTTGTGTCGGAGGAATTGGACCTGTTTGCAAGCAGCACCCAGCTGGACAAGGAGACTTAGCTGCGCGAGACTGTGTATGTTTATGTGGAGGAGGAAAATAGATCTAACCCATGTATGGGTAATTAATAAAAAAAAATTGACTAGGCACCTAGATTCAAAAGAATGGGGTTTGCACACCCTTCAGTGGGAGAGAGCCCCCGGCAGACTTAAAAACTTTCTCAAAATTAAACAGCAGTATAGCATGGAATATAGGTTGTTAGAAACTTTTTCAGATCCTGCTTAATTTGCTTACAGCTCCTGGCAATGAACAGACCACACACTGTTAAGTAAGTTTAAAAAGCTTTACTTACAAAACCCAAAGGTCTGTTTATGCATTGTCCCATGCAGCAGCAAGGAAAACGCAGGTAGAATACTCTTGGGTGCAAAATACAGAATGTAGTTTCAAGCATGCAGTCTGAACTTGGAGCGAGTTCAGACGTGTCCGTGCTGGTCCGTTACGTGGCGCAGAGAGACAGAAAGGAAGAGAAACAGCTTCACTTCCTCCTTCACAGAAGTAAGAGGGATGGCTTCAAAATAAGATTTGACAAATTAACAAAGGGTAAGGATATGAATGGCTGCTAGCCATAATGGTTGCGTTCTATTTCTGCTGTTGGAGACAGTGCATCTCAGTTGCTCCTGTGCTCAGGTCTTGCTTACGTGTTTTGCTATAGACACCTGGTTATTTTTATTTATTATTATGTATTAAATTTGTATACGGACCTACACCCTTAGGTATACACTGTGAGAACAAGATAATGGACTAGATGGGCCACTGGTCTCTTGTTATTTTCTTACCGTATTGGCCCGAATATAAGCCGCACCTTTAAAATTGGAGGGCAAAAAAAACAACAAAAAACAAACCCTGAATATAAGCCGCTCCCTTCCTCGCTGCTCCTGGCTGCATACCGTAAGGTCACGAATATAAGTCACACTTTAACTTTTCATGGTTGGAATTTGGGGGGAAAGTGTGGCTTATATTTGGGCCAATATGGTAATTAAATATCACATACAGTGGTACCTCAGGTTACATATGCTTCAGGTTACATACGCTTCAGGTTACAGACTCCGCTAACCCAGAAATAGTACCTCGGGTTAAGAACTTTGCTTCAGGATGAGAACAGAAATCGTGCTCTGGTGTCGCGGCAGCAGCAGTAGGCCCCATTAGCTAAAATGCTGCTTCAGGTTAAGAACAGTTTCAGGTTAAGAACGGACCTCCAGAACGAATTAAGTTCTTAACCCGAGGTACCACTGTACTCAGTTATACACACATATATATTCATCCTTTACAGTACACACACACACAATCCCAAGCATTCTAAAAACAGTTGCTCTAAAGATGGAGGGGGGGGCTGTGTTGGTGATGTCACAGATAGAATCATAGAATCATAGAGTTGGAATAGACCACAAGGGCCATCGAGTCCAACCCCCTGCCAAGCAGGAAACACCATCAGAGCACTCCTGACATATGGTTGTCAAGCCTCTGCTTAAAGACCTCCAAAGAAGGAGACTCCACCACACTCCTTGGCAGCAAATTCCACTGTCGAACCGCTCTTACTGTCAGGAAGTTCTTCCTAATGTTTAGGTGGAATCTTCTTTCTTGTAGTTTGGATCCATTGCTCCATGTCCGCTTCTCCGGAGCAGCAGAAAACAACCTTTCTCCCTCCTCTATATGACATCCTTTTATATATTTAAACATGGCTATCATATCACCCCTTAACCTCCTCTTCTCCAGGCTAAACATGCCCAGCTCCCTTAGCCGTTCCTCATAAGGCATCGTTTCCAGGCCTTTGACCATTTTGGTTGCCCTCCTCTGGACACGTTCCAGTTTGTCAGTGTCCTTCTTGAACTGTGGTGCCCAGAACTGGACACAGTACTCCAGGTGAGGTCTGACCAGAGCAGAATACAGTGGCACTATTACTTCCCTTGATCTAGATGCTATACTCCTATTGATGCAGCCCAGAATTGCATTGGCTTTTTTAGCTGTCGCATCACACTGTTGGCTCATGTCAAGTTTGTGGTCAACCAAGACTCCTAGATCCTTTTCACATGTACTGCTCTCAAGCCAGGTGTCACCCATCTTGTATTTGTGCCTCAGACCAACAGACCCCCGACACAATGTTTTTTCTCAAGTTGCTAAGAGCCCGCAATATTGCATGTTTAAATACAACCCAGAGCAGAGAGATGTGTGTTTGTTTGTTTGAAGGGCAGGGACAGCACTATTGAGCCACCTCCCAATGGCCATTCTGTCTTCACTCTTAAATAAGAACAAACTGTCCCTGGAAAGAAAGGGAGGTTTCGAATGGGTGATCAAGGAGACAGCATGCTCAAATAAACACGGCATATTTCAACACAGCGGCTACTTTTCTCTCCCTGGACAGCAGGAAGAATGCCTGCACACCTGAGACTCGTACCGGTTTGAGATTTCTCCCCGGAAAACTAGCAATTGAATAAATAGTCCCTCAGCACATCACATTCTGAGTCACAGGCATCAAAATCCGCATTCAGAACGATTGCCTTTGTTGTTACCGTTCAGAGGGACCGGCCGCCTTTCCACAGAAATCAATACTTGCGTAAGAATAAATGAAACAAAAAGGCCAAGAAACAAAACCAGGAAACGTTGCACAAAACAAAACCCAAGAAAAGCAGAACTGGCAGTCAGCCAAGCAGTTGGGAAAGCTCTCTAGGCCTTCGCCAGTCTAGGGATTCCATAAAAGAACATCACTAGTTGTTGTTTTTTCTCCATAATTCATTCTTCCACGCTTCCCATTTTCAAGTTATAATAATAATAATTTATTATTTATACCCCGCCCATCTGGCTGGGTTTCCCCAGCCACTCTGGGCGGCTTCCAACAGAATATTAAAATACAACAACCTCTTAAACATTAAAAGCTTCCCTAAACAGGGCTGCCTTCCGATGTCTTCTAAAAGTTTGGTAGTTGTTCTTCTCTTTGACATCTGGTGGGAGGGCGTTCCACAGAGCGGGTGCCACTACCGAGAAGGCCCTCTGCTTGGTTCCCTGTAACTTGGCTTCTCACAGCAAGGGAACCACCAGAAGGCCCTCGGGGCTGGACCTCAGTGTCCAGGCAGACGAAATAGGTTGAAGAAGGACCTTGAATGTATTGGACTAGAGCAGTTTCCCAAACTTGAGTCTCCTGCTGTTTCCAGACTACAATTCCCATCATCCCTGACCACTGGTCTTGCTAGCTAGGGATGCTGGGAGTTGTAGTCTGAAAACAGCTGGAGACCCAAGTCTAGGAGAGCATTGGTTCACAAAATGGGCAGGGCTGCCCCCCAGGGAGTGGGACTAAGAAGCAAGCGGGGATGCTGGAGATGCAAATGACTGCCAGACTTTGAAAAGCTGGATCGAAACCATCCGTTCTGTCGAATTAAACTAAACTGCTTCAATTGGATTTTGAATAAATGCGTGATTAATCGTCGCCGCTTGGATTTTATTGTGTTGTCAACTTCTCCTGCAGGTCATGCAAACCGCTCTTCTGAATAATGCTTTTTTATAAGGGGGGGGGAGCGGGCCCCACTGGAGATGAGTTTACAGAACCGAGGGGCCGGCGGCCTCAAAAAGGTTGGGAAACCGCTGGACTGGAGTGACGTTACGCCTACTGCGCTTTGGCCCCACTTAAATCAATGGGATAAGCAAGTTGTGACTTTGGTCCCAATGATTTCAGCAGGAATGAAGAGTAACCAGTGGGCAAAATAATCCGAACCCCGAATCTCAGCAAGTGGGAAGCAGTGGGGCAGGGCTGGCTGCTCCATCCAAAACGGAAGGGTTTTCGGTATCTTCCTAGAGCAAAATGTACGTCAGAAGGTTTTGTTTGCTCAGAATCAAGGATACACTTCCAGAGTTAACGGTAAATACATTACAGTTGTACCTCCGTTTACGTAACCCTCTGGTTAGGTAAACTTTGGGGTGTGCGTGCGGCAAACCCAGAAGCATTTTACCGGGTTTCGCCATGCGCGAATGTGCAGAAGAGGGCTGCACATGCGCAGAAACGGTCCTCAGGTTGTGGAAACCTTGGGATCCAACCGGATCTCCGGAACGGATCCCATCTGCAACCAGAGGTACCATTGTACTTCTGGTAACTGAGCCACCACAACTGATAAGAGGGCTGTGAAAATTTGTGTCCTGGGCTTTTTAGACACTTCTACCCATGTAATTCCTAAAGGGCCACTTTGGTGGCCTGATGTGGCCCTCCCCCCAGTTCTCTTACCTTGCTACCATGACCTACTGGAAACCTATTGAAGGCCTCAGCCAACAAGGCTTTTAAGCAAGGATCTTTCCCAGTCTACATCTGCATTGCCATCGTTTCCTAGATGTCTTATTATTTGTGTCCTTCAGGAGGAAGAGTGGAGTATGAATTTATTAACCACCTGGCTCCTGACTGCTCCTACAACTTCCCCTTCAATTCAACCTCCGATTCCCCCACACCCGGCGCACAAAACCTTCTCAGTGCCTACCTTTGGTTCGTTTGCGCCACGGCAGAAAACGATGGGACTTCCAACATGTAATCTCCTCAACAGTCGTGGACCGAGGTCTTGCGTATTCACACCCCAAACAGTGCCCGTCTCTCTGATGAGCTGAAAGCGGTTACTTATGTGTGTGTTTTTAAGGCACACTTGTGCATCAGTTACCCACAGTGGAGGCCACATCACTATGGGAGGTGGAAGTGACGGGTCTCTGCTCCTGAACCATAGCAAGAGAAGTCCAAAGGAGCAGGGGGCGAGTTTCATTGGGAAGAGACGAGACTCTTCGGCCTACTGTAGACAACAAATATAGCAGGCCCACATTGCATCAAAAACATTCAGCTTGGACATCAAAAATTTTTGAACTGGTGCATCGCTGGATTGGATTGTTCAGGTGTGGCTACGGAATCATCCATCACCTGGAATCTATTTTCCAAATCCAGCAGTGATCTCCTTATGTTCCAGACCAGTATAAAAAGAGCGACCCACAATCATCACTGGAAACGACACGAGGATAGTGGAAGTGGGAAGATGGGAGATGTTAGCACAACCTGTTGCTTCGTGCAACAGTCTTTAGCCTTCGAAATGATTCTGCGAGCAGTTGCCTAGGAAACAACCATGGGGTTCTCTGCTTGCCGGGATGAAATCCTTCCCTCCAACGTGAACTGATGATGCATCCTCACGAAGAGACAGAGCGTTCAAATGAAGAACAACGTGAGGGGAACCTCAAACCGAGCAGTCCCTGAACCTGAAAGGGAGACAGACACAATTATACGTGAAGGAACACACCACAGTCTAAAATCGGCAGACCGCTCTTAAAAATAACCATCACAGCTCGCTGGAAACTACTGGGACTCTCCCTACAGATGTTTTGGATCTACAACTGGCCAAGCCAACATAGTCATGTTGGGAGTCCAAAATTAATGAGATGGCACCCGGTTGGGTGTGGGTTGGTGTATAGAAATAAAACAGGTGGGAGGGGCATTGGAAAACCTGTGGCTTCCCAGATGTTTGACTGCACCTGCCATCGGTCCAGCGGTATTGGCTGGAACCTGCGGTCTTTGAAATAAAACAACAGTGACGACATTGAGACTGAAGTTCCTAAGACGGTCAAAGAGATCTCCGGAAAATGTGTAACAGAAATCATGGAATTGTGGGGTTGGAAGGGACACAGCTGATGACTCTACGACAGCCTTCCTTATGCTGGTTCCCTCCAGATGTTTTGGACTGGGAGCTCCATCATCTCCAGTCAGCGCAACTGAGGAAAGCTGTTCTTCTGCAGAAGAATGCGGAAGGCAGAGGACATTTCTGGATTTTAAGGCTTTTACCAGCGTCAAAGGACACGGGTGAGATGAGACTTTTAGCCAAAAATGGCCAAAGTTGTAGAAAAGAGGGGGAAACCTCTAGTCTCCCCCCCCCACAATAAAAACCATTTCCATGCAGACCTTATCACTTTCCTTCCACTGCTGATGCTCACTGTCATTCACTGTACACATCTGATCACTACTGTGACCAGGAAGCCCTTCCATAGGAGAGCAGTCCTTTCCTTCGCCTGTGAATTCTTTTGCCAAGACTTATCAGCATTAAAACAAAAAATGGCACAAATAAATATTCATTTGGGGGAGGAGTACATACCTCATTTTAATTCAATGGATTCATAAGCAAAACCGATTACGGACAATGCAGCCACAAGAATGTCTGCCATACTGCAAACCTGCCCCTATGACTAAGTAACATTAAGGAAAATATTTTCAGATCCTTCTCTAAGGGACATTTTACTTTCCCCATATTTATTTACCTACTTGATTTACCGTATTTTTCGCCCTATAGGGCGCACCGGCCCATAGGACGAACCTCGTTTTTTTTGGGGGGGGGAATGAATAAAAAAAAATTACTCCCGCCGGGCTTGCAAGGCTTGCGGATAGCTTCCTGAAGCCTGCATTCGCCCCATAGGGCGCACACACATTTCCCCTTCATTTTTGGAGAGGGAAAAGTGCGTCCTATGCAGGTGCGCACCGATGCCCCTCGCTCTCCAGGCTTCAGCAAAAGCCTGCATTCGCCCCATAGGACGCACACATATTTCCCCTTCATTTTTGGAGAGGGAAAAGTGCGTCCTATGCAGGTGCGCACCGATGCCCCTCGCTCTCCAGGCTTCAGCAAAAGCCTGCATTCGCCCCATAGGACGCACACATATTTCCCCTTCATTTTTGGAGGGGGAAAAGTGCGTCCTATAGGGCGAAAAATACGGTATACAGCTGCCCCATAGCAGGAGAACTCTAGTGGGCTAATATGGTCCAGTGGTTAGAGCGCTGGACTAGAACCTGGGAGATCGGAGTTTGAATTCTCACTCAGTCATGAAGATCACGGGGTGAGCTTGGAATTAGTCACAGTCTCTTAACCTACCTCACAGGGTCTTTGTAAGGATTAACTGAGGAGGAGGGTGAACCATGTACACCTTGGCGGAAAAGGCAGGATAAAGATGCAGTAAATGACCTGCTGTAAATTCTGCTGACCTGCTTAAGAAAGCTGGAGGGGCCAGCCAGGTGGAGATGTCAGTCATCAACCTGCCATCCAGAAATCTCCACATGGTCGCAGTTTGAACCGTGCCAGTCACAAAATGCACCTGGTCCCTGGGGAATGTCGGACACCGGTTCACCCTCTTGCTCAGTGTAGGATTTGCAGCGCCAAGTTCGGCTACAGCAGGGGTCAGCAAACTTTTTTAGCAGGGGGCAGGTCCACTGTCCCTCAGACCTTGTGGGGGGCTGGACTATATTTTGAAGAAAAAATGAACGAATTCCTATGCCCCACAAATAACCCAGAGATGCATTTTAAACAAAAGGACACATTCTACTCGTGTAAAAACACAATGATTCCCAGACAGTCCGCGGGCCGGATTGAGAAGGCTATTGGGTCAGATCCAGCCCCGGGGCCTTAGATTGCCTACCCGTGATCTAGTCCAGGGGTCAGCAAACTTTTTCTGCAGGGGGCCAGTCCACTGTCCCTCAGACCTTGTGGGGGGCCGGACTATATTTTGGGGAAAAAATATGGACGAATTCCAATGCTCCACAAATAACCCAGAGATGCATTTTAAACAAAAGGACACATTCTACTCGTGTAAAAACACACTGATTCCCGGACCATCTGTGGGCCGGATTGAGAAGGTGATTGGGTCGGATCCGGCCCCCGGGTCTTAGTTTGCCTACCCATGGGCTACAGCATCTCTGACACCCACCCTCTCCTATCTCCAGCAAAGGGGGTCCCAGAGCTGTGTTAACTGTTAGACAGTCCCTCCTTAATGCTGAGCCAAAAACCTTCTTTCCTGATATTTCTACTTAGTGGTTCTCAGGCGTGTCAGAGAACACACCCTGCTCTTCAGATATCTGAAGACACCTGTCACTCCCCTCCCCAAATCTCCTCTCTTCCAGACTAAGCAGACCTAGGGGCTTTCAGCCCTTCCTTGCAGGACTCACCAAACCCCTGGAGGGAAACAAAACAGTTCCAAGATGGGACCTAATCGGCTGTGGAGGAAACCAGAAAAGGGCCTCTGAATATCATCTGAAGGGGACTGCAGAGTTCGTAAGGGACAAGGCGATCCTTTGTTGCATGGGTTGACTTGCAAAAATGTTCTTAACAGAGCTCTTTCGGGAGGAAATGTAGGGTATAAATGGGATAAATGAGTAACAGCACCAACACTTTAACGGGGCCAAATTCCCCACTGATTACACGTGATCACAGCCGGCTCACCCTGTCTTCACAAACGCAGCACCCTGTCTTCACAAACGCAGCAAACGGTATCTTCGGCTACTTGGGTGGTTAGCAAAGGGCTTGGAAATAAGAGGATGCTGTACCAACCGCTGCTATGCTGCAGTCTTTGTGTCCACCTAGTGATAGCTACCTGGCACTGCAGCCCTGCCAAATTTGACGTCCTTCCACCAGGACACCCATCTACCAGTACATCACGATATCTGAAATAAGGGTGGAGTTATGAGGAGGAAAACAGCAGGGCGTGGCGATACCTGGTTTTCAACATCGTGATATATCACCAGCAAAACATCACGATATACAGATACATCGTGGTGTCTGGAATAAGGATGGCGCTTGGTAGAGGCACTGGATTGCTTCGCGGTTTCCCCTGCATCGTGGTTTTGGCACAGGACACATACGCATCATAATTCACGATATATTGCCAGGTCAAAAATTATGAAACCGATTATGGCAATATGGACTTCAAGCCAGGTTTGGACGATATATCGCCCAGTTCTACTATGAATCCCCTATTTTTCAAAAGCCAAGCCATGCAACTCCTACTTTTGAAAATTCTGGTATCTTTCTCGCAGTTTTTGTAATGTGAATGATGCTGTGGAACCCCTGGGTGGGTTACGCAAACCCCCTGCAGTTGGTGGGCCATCAGTTGGAAGCCACTGCTCTAAGGGAAGTGGCGCTGTTGAGAATACTGAATTTGTTGGACCAACTGTCTAATGCAGTACTATATAGGGCAACTTCCAACTTCCTAAACTTTCACATATCTGCTGAGAAGTAGGTCCCACTGCGCTAAGTGCCTACGATAAATGCAGTGTTTGGAATTGCCCGGGTGCTGAGTGCATGCTGCTACTGGGGCAGGTCAAATTGCAACGACGTGGAGATTTCTGGGCACCAGGCTGGCAACTTGACATTTCCACCGACTTGTGCAAAAGACTTTTTGTGCTTCTGCACTGCAGGACAAATCGTGGACCCCTTGCTGGACATCTTAAGTCCTTCATCGTCACACCAAGGAAAGTACTGTATTTTTCGCTCTATAAGATGCACCAGACCACAAGACGCACCTAGTTTTTGGAGGAGGAAAACAAGAAAAAAATATATTCTGAATCTCAGAAGCCAGAACAGCAAGAGGGATCGCTGCGCAGTGAAAGCAGCAATCCCTCTTCCTGTTCTGGCTTCTGGGATAGCTGCGCAGCCTGCATTTGCTCCATAAGACGCGCAAACATTTCCCCTTACTTTTTAGGAGGGGGAAAAGTGAGTCTTATAGAGCAAAAAATACGGTAATTCCAGGGTGGAGCACAGAGATATTCAACGGTGCTGCAGCCTTTCCACAAACCACCCAAATGAAACTCACAGACCACAGTTTAAAAGCCCCTGCATTAGTCCATATCTGATACCATTTCCATTTCCACTGTGTTTCTCTCCTTCTTGCATACTAGGACAAGTTGTAAGAGCAAGCTACAGTCAAGCAGCGTAGTTGAGATCACAGAACCGTAGTTCCCCCAAGGTCTTACAGAATCCTAGAACTGTAGACTTGGTAGGGACCCTAAGGGACATCTAGTCCAACCCCCTGGTGAATAGACATTCCGCTGTGGCGACCATAACCCAGGTTTAAGGTTCCGTTTGGTGCCTAGCTTACAAATCTGAGTTTCTAACACTGGCTAAATGCATGTAATATTGTTGCAGTTTCATGGTGCGAGCGGACTGCATAGCTGGCTAGTAGATACCGATGCTTGGTTACCACAATTTGTACGTGCCCTCTCCATTTTCTCGCCATGATAATGCACCTCTATCATGTCCTGAACTTCTATCCTGCCTCCCCACCTTGCGGTCACTTTTTTGCTAAACAAAAATGGACAGCTAAGACCATGGGTAGGCAAACTAAGGCCCGGGGGCTGGATCTGGCCCAATCGCTTTCTAAATCTGGCCCACGGACGGTCTGGGAATCAGCCTGTTTTTACATGAGTAGAATGTGTCCTTTTATTTAAA